TAAGTCAGAAACTGACCATCTATAGAATTAGAATTTAAATGGTTCTCTGAATAGTTCAAAAAGATACAGTAATTTTTTTTCAATAAACATTACAAAGTTATAAAATTAGAGCAAATCACTTATAATAGATACATAAATATTTTATAACATTTCAAGTTTAGAAGTACAATAAATAATATAATTTCATGGTTTTTATTGGACTTTTATTAATTCTACTTTTATAATGTCTGATATTGCAGTCTGACCTCACAGTTAACTATTCTTATTCATATTCTTTCATAAAATTTGAGGTGTCTTAAAATTTGGGAGTATGCGTTTTTCTAAAGGATAACTAATATTAAAATAAGATTGGTGTACTCTACACCTTATTTCTTTGCAGTTTTGATTTAAATTGATTGAAGATTGATAGTACATACATACATATATACATACACACATACATATGTACTTCATAAGCTTTAAAAATGTGTTGTTTCCTACACATTTTTGGCTATGGTTTTAGGTCAAAGAATAATGCAATAAATAGGTACCAGAAAATTACCCAATCTATAATATTTACTAAATTTTTTTTTAAGATTTTATTTATTTATTTGACAGAGAGAGACACAGTGAGAGAAGGAACACAAGCAGGGGGTATGGGAGAGGGAGAAGCAGGCTTCCCGCTGAGCAGGGAACTTAATGTGGGGCTTGATGTGGGGCCTGATATGGGGCTCGATGTGAGGCTCAATCCCAGGACTTTGGGATCATGACCTGAGCCAAAGGCAGATGCTTAATGACTGAGCCATCTAGGCACCCCAGTTACTAGATCTTCTAATAGAGTTATCAACCTCGTTTGCCCTTGATAGTAGCAGTTTATTTTCATGGAGTGTAAGACAGAATATTGCTAAGATACCCGTTTTCCCCAATTGCCAAACTGCCATCTGTACTGGATTTCTAAGTACCGTTATTCATACTTTCATTAAAATAAACAGGGTTGTGTTTGATAAGTCTACACTTTGTACTTCAAATTCTGCCACAGTCCTTTCTCAGAGTGGTAGAAATACATAGGCAATATATTATGTAACATGAGGATAAATTAGCATGTTAACAAATGATAACCTACTTCTCTTTTCCAAGTCCTTTCCAGATGCAAAGAATATTATATCTCTCACTTAAGGACAGCTTGCAGGATTTTGAAGACCCAAGAAACCACAAATAACTGATTCCTTATTTCAGTAGATAGGAGGAAAAGGATATGATAATGCTGCCCTAGGAGCACAAACTTCCTAATTGCAAGTAAGTTGGGTCAGTGGGAACCACAGGAAATTATGAGTTAATGTCTGTGTTTTTATATTAAACAAACAGAGGCCAAGCAGTTATGTGATAGGTGTATAGAGAGTCATCTATATGTTCTTGGTATAGAAGTTTGGTTATACCATTAGTTACAGGTATGGTATAAATTGGGGGTTGATAAACTATAACTGTAAGCCAAATACAACCTTCTACCTATTTTTCTAAATAAAGTTTAATTGAAACAAACCAAATTCACTCACTTACATATTGTCTATGGTTCCTTTAACACTACAATAGCAGAATTGAGTTATTACAATAGCGATCACATGGCTCAGAAAATCTAAAATATTTACTATCTGATCCTTCACAGAAAAGAAGTTTACAAGTCCCTGGCATAAATATACTATTATTTACACATTTTGTTTTGTGCTGATGTTCATTTCTTATTTTGTAATAAACAATTAAAGTACAAAAAGATAAAAAGCAATTTATGTTTTTTAATTTAAATGTTTCAAATTTGTGTTTACCCAGAAAGTTGATAATGAATATGCAGTTTGCCCCTATACTATGTCAGTGTTATTGATCCACCACAGAATATTACCGATATTATTGACTATATGAAAACCAGAAGATACACATAAGTTGAAGAACCATCAGCATCTATTTTAAACGTTAGTAACTTTCTTAGAAGACTGCCTGCCAATGATGAATTAAGTGCAGATGCAGAAGGTATTCTTATAGACTACTCTGGGAAGCATGTCTTTTTATTTACATCAAGTGACTGTCCCAAAATGATTTCCTTCATTTTCTATTACAAGTTTCTCTGTACATATACAAGTAAAATGATAATTATATAAATGTGTCAGATGAATTAACACAATAAATTCACACTCAGTTAAAATGCTAGTTGCTTGATATTAGTAATATTAGAAGCTTTAAATAAATCACCATTTAATTTCAATAATGGTCTGATTTTTCCAACCAATTAATTGAATTAAAATAAGGTTTTGCAAGTTTATTCTGCTGAATGAAAGATATCTGATGATATTAGGAATGCTTTTGGAAAATTCAGTTAAGTTGTCCTAAAGATGAAGTTATTTGTTCTTGTGTTGAAATTATAAACAAAATTTTATTTAAGTATATCATGATATATACATTGTTTTGATTAAGTTGAGAAGAGGATGGAATTAAGTTGAGAAAAGGAGGGAAAAGAAATATACTTGGAATCTAGTGTAGTGCACACATAATTCATATTTCAATCCAAACTAGTGATATTCACATAATTGAAATGGAATATATAGTTGCAAATTTTACAAATAACTTTAAAGAGTCATGGGACAACATTTTTTTTTTTTGACAGAGCTGATAGGAGGAAGAAAAACATGTAACATGGCAGAATGTTCTTTCTTTTGCTGCCATCCATTAACATTTGGATTTAACTTCTGAGGAGTGATTGAAATTAAATTCAATGTCTCAATGACATTGTAATGAAAGAATTCTCTAAATTTTGGTCTGTTTTGTTTAAAACCAGTACCAATAATTTAATCAAACAACTTAATGAATTAAGCACACAAAAAATCACTTTTTGAGAGTTCTAGTCAGTAGTCATTTTTAAAAAGATATTAAAATGTATTTCTACATAACACAACAGAGACACTGAACATATTCAATAAGTTCAAAAGTGTATAGTATTATAAATACTATGTGCTCTGGAATAACTGGACTTGTGGGAAGCAATATTTGAGGAGGATCCTATATTTTATGGATAAATTTATGTACCAGAACATAATGGAAATAAATTGAGAGGCCCTACAACTTTGCAGCACCTAAGATTAGCCAAATACTCAAAAGAATCATATGTGAAGATTATTTCATGAGGATTTTCTTAGAAAATGTTTGTCAATGAAAATAAGACTGAACATAATATAAATATGTCTCCTATGGAAAAAAATGACTAATGTATTTTATACAAAAAATTGAATTAAAACTACATTCCATTTAGCAGATTTCTTTTGAGATTAACAGGAATCTCAACAGTTCAGTGAAAATGTCCTTAGTTAAGATACGATAGTTAGGAGTTAACTGAAGGCATTAACAATTTCAAATTTATTAATCATACATGTAACTTTGGGGCATCTGGGTGGCTCAGTTGTTTGAGACTGCCTTCGGCACAGGTCATGGTTCTGGAGTCCTGTGATCAAGTCCCACATCAGGCTCCCTGCTCAGCAGAGATTCTGCTTCTCCCTCTGACCCTACCCACTTTCATCCTCTCAATCTCGCAAATAAATAAAGTCTTTAAAGAAAACAATAAATGCAACTTTGAATAGGGTATAACTTTATAAAAAATTAAAATAATAAGACCACATTAAAAAATATTCATTCTTCAGAAAAATATTAGCAACATATATTATTAGCAACATAAATAAAAATATATAAAATATATAAAAATATTAGCAACATAAATATGGTTAAACACAGTTTCTGCTTATATTGTTTTGTAGTGTTCAGATAATCAATAAAAAGGATGTTTTACAATTTCCTTTGATTTTTAGAGATTGAAGATCAAGTTATAATTCTCTTCTTTGAAAATAATTTTATTAAAAGTAATTTTTGAATAGGACTATTTTATGTGTCTGGCTATTTAATTAAGCCAATTTGCTGGTCAATAAATGAATATTTCAAATATTAGATAACTTTTTAGCTACCTTTTTTCCTCAAAAATGTCATGGTTTGGAAGATAAATTATATGGTTTTCATACATATGCAGCATACAGTAAAATACTGTATAAATCTTTCAATTCATGACCTCTCTCAGTGAAAGAGAAGACTTAAGGGATGAAAGACCTGAAAAAAGTTTTTTTGAAGACAGTTATTGGACCCCTTTTTGTCTGCATTGCCACCAACCCTTCTTACTATGGGACAGTGGTTCATGTATTCTACCAAAATTTCAAATCTCCCTCTGTGGAATTAGGTAGAAGGACATGCAAGAGAAACACTAGGAGGTATTACCATTCTCTGTAATTTGGAAGACATGCATATTTTTGTTTTACTCCCACCAAAGGAGTCTGTAGGTGTCTTCTAATTGTGGCTGGAGACAGCATTGCTTAAAGACCTTCTGAAGAGGGACAGATATACTGATAATGAGTTATATTTCCCAGAAAATGGGAAACTGTAGAAGAGTTTAAAGTTGCAACTGAAATGGTTTAAACGTATTTTCATTATTTAAACATTAAATCAATAGTTAAGAAAGTATTGCCTTAAATAGTGATTTCATTCCCCATTTTTAAGTTCATTTGAGAAGAAATAAAAAATTTTTCCTCTTCAGAAAAGGGGATTTGCCTGTAATGACATGTTACATAAGGAAATAAGTTAGATATAATTATGCAAAGTATGTGCAAAATGTGCAAAATTATGTAAATTATGTGCACCATAGCTAAAAATATTTTAAGAACTTAAGAACAAAATATATTTTATCATGGTGAAAAACTTGTCAACTGGTGTCCAAAACTCATCTTATATTATGGAATATTTAGCAGGATCATTTAATTGCTAACCAAACTGATTAAACATATCCCTAAAACATATTCAAAGTATAGAACCTTTAAAATTACATTTTTCAGTAATTAATAAAACATTTCAAATTTAATTTGAAGCAAATAAGACAAAAATTAATATGATTTGTATGCGTATATATAGAAATATATACATACATATGTATATTTTTTTACCTGAAAATGGTTCATCACATTCACAGATGAAATTATATATAGTAATATTGCTGCAATTCCCATGGAAACAGATATATGGTTGACCTTGGTCAATAATTTCTGAACAATTTATGCCTGTTTAAATGAAAGAAAATCAATTTTTCAATTAGATTAAAAACAATTACATTGTATATACTTAACTATGGTCATTAATTTTTACCAAATTCTTTAATAATGATGGTCAAAATTTTGTGAAAATATAACTCTAATTAAGAAATAAGGAGCATCTGGATGCTGTCTGTTAAGTGACCCACTCTTGATTTTGGCTCCGGTCGTGATCTCAGGGTCACAGAATTGAGCTCTGCATTAGGCCTGTGATCAGCACAGAGGCTGCTTGAAATTCCCTCCCATCCCCTCTGCCATTCCTTCTGCTCCAGTGCTCTAAATAAATAAAAAAATAGTTAAATCTTAAGGAAAAAAAAACTCAATGATGATGTATTTAAATTGAAACAAAAATTAATTTCAATAAGCTTGACATCCTCAATAAGTTTTTCCATCCTCTGACCCACACTATTGTATTCAAATATTTTTCTGGTTGTTGATATTTGAGCTTTAGTTGATTTTCATAATTTGAATTTGTTAATCATGTTTTGACAGTAGATAATATTAATATATGTATATATCAGTTCTTCAACACACAGTGGTAGCCCTGCAGTAGTAATTTACAAAGTGACATATTCATAAGTATATTGTGTCTTAGTCCTATCACCTGGCCAAAGTGATAATTCAAAAGGGGAAAATGTGAAAAATTGACAACATCTGAAGAGAAACTAGGACATAAAGGTTTAGTCAAGCAAGCTGAATAAACTCTAGAGATCTGCTATACAGCATTGTGTTTACTGTCAACAATTTTATGTTGTACACTTAAAAATTTAATAAGAAGGTAGATATCATATTAAATGTTTTTTTCCACAGTAAAATAAAATAAAATAATAAAATAAAATCTGAAATTACAGGGGGGAGAAGGAGAAAAATTCTGGATTCTCAGAAGTTATGCACCAACTTCTAAACTGTACATTTTCTTACCCTATTATGTCAAGTTTCCAAATATCACTAATACAAACTATTGTGGACCTACAATACCACATACCATAACCTTTCATAGCATCCTTTTTTGTGCAGTTAATCAGTTCATAATATCCTTTGTAGAGGAATATGCCTAGAAAATTCTAGGGCATGGCAAATGGACACATTATTATAAATCAGCTGCCCATCATTCAGCAATAGGCCAGCCACCATTTTATTTTAGTTGAATTCTTAATTTGACTCATAAACAATTTTTGCCATTATCATTGAAACCTTTCAAATTCTTTTATAGACTGACAGCCCTGCCTCAATACTACAGAATGCTTCTTATTTATCTCCAAACAACCCCAACACAATAAAAATTTAAGTAAATATAATTAAATGCCAAATATTTCCATGTACAAAAGCTAAATTTATAATAGAATGTTCAATAGGTCATACACTATTTCAATCTTAGTGTAATGGGCTAAATTGTGAGCCCTCAAAATTCATATTTGAAATTCATATTTGAAAATTCATTTTTGAAATTCATGTCCTAACTTCCAGGAGCTCATAGTGTGACTATATTTGGAAACAGGATCTTTTTTAGAGAGGTAATACAGATTAAATGAGGTCAATAAGATGGGTCCTAATCTAATGTGACTGATATCCTCATAAGAAGAAAAATTTTGGACATACAGACATGTACAGTAGGAAAACACAGGAAGAACATGGGTATCTACAAACCAAGGAATGAGGCCTCAGAAGAAACCAATCCTGCTTACATGATACTTTGATCTCTAACATTTAGCCTCTAAAATGTGAGAAAATAAATTTTTGATGTTGAAGCCACTCAAACTATGGTACTTTGTTATAGCATCACTAACAAACTAATACAGTTAATATTCTCAGTTTATTTGGTAATTCTACATATTTCTGTGTCATCTTAGATTTAAAATTGAAGCAATTCTAATAAAGTGGCATTATGTTATATGCTCAGTATTATGGTTTTTAACATTAATGATTTAAATTATCTAAGATTGTGTTTCTAATAAATAAACAAATAAACATTGGGTAGAAATAAACACCTTTATGCAACTAAGATAAAATTATTGAAATAGCATTCTATGATATATGATTACATATATGCCAATTAATATTCTGACAGATGGTAGAAACTTTCTGGCCAAATATTGTTTAAAATACTTTGGACACGGGGCGCCTGGGTGGCTCAGTGGGTTAAGCCTCTGCCTTCAGCTCAGGTCATGATTCCAGGCTCCTGGGATTGAGCCCCGCATCAGGCTCTCTGCTCAGCGAGGAGCCTGCCTCCCCCCTCTCTCTGCCTGTCTCTCTGCCTACTTGTGATCTCTGTCTGTCAAATAAATAAATAAAATCTTAAAAAAAAATACTTTGGACAAACTAAAATGTATGCTTTAAGATCTCTCAATTAAATTGCTTTTTCATTCACCCCAAATCATCAACTTGGAAGTTTTCACTTTTTTGATGACCTGTTTTAAATTTTTTTTAAGATTTTATTCATTTATTTATTTGAGAGAGAGTGTGAGAGAGAGAGAGAAAGCATGAGCAGGGGGAGGGGCAGAGGGAGAAGCAGATCCCCCACCAACCAGGGAGCCTGCCATGGGGCTAGATACCAGGGTCCTGGGATCATGTTCTGAGCAGAAAGCACACACTTAACCGACAGCATCCCAGAGACCCCTTGACCTGTATTAATTTTATTTATCTGATAAACTCCAGGAAGAGTTGTGGTTACTTATATTTTTGTTCACCAATGCCAGGAAGAGTAAAATGAGAATTTGAGAAATTTTAGGCAGAAGATGTTCAGTGGATACTGATGGAATTAATTTCTGAAATGGTCTTAGTACTTCCCTATCAAAGAGTCTAAAATTACTCTGAAAGGAATTTTAGAGTCCACAAGGCTTTATTGAGATATTTTATTATACAGTCTAGGGCCTAGTATAGTTTTCCCAGGGCACATGGAAGAAAAACCTTATTGAAGTCCCCTAAAGTCTGCCTGAAAAAATTTACAGTTGTTTCTCTGAGCCTCATCTGTTTTATCTTATCTACTGCTCACTCTCTTTCCTCTCTCTTGACCAAAAGGTAGTACCAATTTGTTGTTTTCATATACTACCATTACAAACTGCATCAAGCAATTCCTTTTGTTAGATCATCCTTGTCTTGCCCATTATCTTTGTAACTCTCTATGCCAGGTCTCCCTTTCATAAATTCCTATAGATTAAAATTTTCCCTACATTTCTCAACATTTCTCCTCATTGTCCTCTGATGACCCAATTCCCTAGTAAATTTTCAAGTAGTGATAGTTGATTTTCCCTTAAATCTTCACTCAGTCTCAGATAGTATAGTTTACATTGTTTTTAGGTTACCGGCTTCATCTACTCACCAAATGTCTTTTTACAACCTTTCCTCATCATAGCCTCTGATTAAGTTTATTACAACCAGGTTTATTAATTAAATATATCATGTTTTTTCCTTCCTTTCCACTATTATCTATTAATCACTTCATAGGGCCACATCAACATCCATTAAGAACACTGCTCTTCGTCACCTGGTGGTTCAATCAGTTAAGCAACCTACTCTTGATTTCAGCTCAGGTTAGTTCATGACCTCAGTGTCAGTTCACGACCTCAGTGTCATGAGACTGAGCCCTGCATTGGGCTCTGCACTAGGTGTGGAACCTGCTTAAGATTCTCTGGCTCTCCCTCTGGCCCTCCCACCACACCTCATGCAAAAGAACATTACTCTTCGCTCACAAGCAACTTCATGCCTTCCTCACAACCACATACCTCTTTATCTTCCTCCACTCAGGTCCACACTTAATTTCTATATTATCACCCAGAACTATTTAAAATAAATAGCATAAGCTTGGAAATTTCATTCTATGATGAATACTATTCTGATAATTTTATATTAAATATATGAAACAGCAAGAGTAAATTTTGAGAAAGATGTGAAAATAGGTATTTCAGGGTAAAACATATGTTTTTTAAAAAAAACCTTCTTATTTAAATAAGCAAAAAAAATTATTCTAGAGAATGCCTGATAGGAATTTTGTTAGGTCCAGATTCCAAATTTAGCCCATTCTAAAAGATCTACAAAATTTTTGGAAACGTAGTTTGTTTTTTGGAAAGTAACAGTTTATGAACTCAGTTTATTTTCCTATTTTAATAGGATTATGTTATTTTTTGTTAAGACCTTATTTATTTATTTGTCAGAGAGCGCACAAGCAGGAGAGCAGCAAGCAGAGGGAGAAGCAGCCTCACTGCTGAGCAAGGAGCCAAATGTGGGACTCGATCCCAGTGTCCTGGGATCGAGTCCTAGCAAAAGGAAGACACTTAACCGAATGAGCCACCCAGGCAACCTGAATTGTGTTATTTATTTATTTTTTTTAATAATCTTACCTGTAAATGGCTGGTGACAGATACATTCATATACTTGTGTATTCCATTTTCCTCTTTTATTAATGCAAATGCCATTATTTTCACATGGCTTATAAGAACATGCATCAAGTTCTTGGCAATATTTTCCAGAAAATGAAGGCTGGCAATGGCAGCTGTATGTCTTGCTCCAAACTTCAGTAAGACATTTGCCATGCCCAGAGCAAAATTCTGAACTCAGAGATTCCTGGCAGAACTGTTCTTTCACTGTCACATTTAGTTGTAGCCCCTGGTGACAAAGCGATGGACCACTTGCTATTACTGTGACAAAATAATGTGTCCCAACACTCAGCCACTGAGAATTCACAGTATGCATTCCTTTTAGTTTGCAACCAAAAAGTAACTGATCTTCAGTTGTGGTGTTTTGCAGACAGTCAATGAATGATGCTTCAGAAACATTCATCAAATTTATTTCTGGAGACTGAAGAGATGGTTCAGAAGAAATTACAAGGATGTCCCCCAATTGAATTTGCAAAGGGCAAATATGGGGAACAACTTGATTGCCTGAAGTATTCATTTTGGTATTTACATCCCCAAACCAGCAATCTCTATAGAAGTCCATGCAGATGTTTTCTGTTAGTGTCCAATTCACCACATATAATAATGGCTGTTTATGCCATTCTTTCACAAATTGCCATTTACATGTTGTTTTTCCATTTATAAATGTGCTATGAAGAACCACTAGGCTCAGAAGCATAATTGATTTGTTAATCATTTTGGGCAATTGTACTTTGTAGTCTGTCATGAAAGTGTCATAAAGAACTGGTGCAAAATGGATTTGAGTATTGCTGAAAATTTCCAAGCAGAGATGTTGTTCAAGGATCCTGGGAACTGGTTTTTCTTCAAATCCCAAAATGCAAATGGATTTGTGACAGTAGATTTTGATCAACAGTAGAGTTCAACTGGTTTAAATATCCCTTTAAACATAAAAACATACATTGTTAGTGAAGTTTTTCCTAAGTTACTTAATTATATAGATAACTTTAAGCTGGTTTTTGGAAGGACTGTGTTGCCACCATTGAGGCACTTTCTTTGTGAAACAAGGCCAGAAAAAACATGGTGAAGATATGCTGCATCTTATCCTGGAATATAGAATTATGTGCTTCTGAAATGTTTTGGTTTTGTTACATAATGAAACCAGCAATTTACTGCAGTCTTTTGTATGTTCTCTTTACACCAAGCTTCAACAAAACTGAAATGTAGCAATAATCAAGACCCTACTTTTATGGATGGTTTTGATTTTCTTCAGACATAAGTATTCCTCTTGATTAGACTTACAAAAACACTTTAAAAACACCATCTATAAAATAAGAATAAAAATGATTTAAATATAATGTTCATGTAATATTTTCATATAAATATAACCTATAATGCACCTGTTGGTGACAAATCATGTTTCTCTAATCCAGGAGGTGGGAACTCCCAGATACACAAGATATTCTAGAAAATTCTGTCATGTAAACAATTAAACTCAGAATGACACTTCACCCAACTTCTGCAGAAATGTGGGAGTTTAGAAGGCAAAGAAGGAAAAGGAAATGTAAAATGGAATAATGAAAGGATGATAAATAAAAGTTGTGTGGTAACTGACTTCTCTTTCATCATTCACACTGGTATGAAGGGGGTAGGGGCAAATGGAATTAATTCTGTCTGGAAGACATCATTACTCCCTGAGGCAAAACAAAACAAAACAAACAAACAAAAAAAGACACACACACACACACACACACACACACACACACACAAACAACAAACACCCAAAAAACAAGACAAAGCGAAAAACAACAAAACAAAATGAAACAAAACTTTTGAGATTTAATATTGACCCAATTAAAAAAAAAAGACATTGAGGGATTTCTCTGCTTAAATCACTCCAGTAATTGATTAATAATAAAAACTACAGGGGTGCCTGGGTAGCTCAGTAGGTTAAGCCTTCAACACTTGATTTTTAGCTCAAGTCCCTCTCAGCACAGAATTTGCTTGAGATTTTCTCTCTCCTTCTGCCTCTACACCTCTCCCAACCTCACTACTCACGCGTCACTCTCTCTCTCAAAATAAGTAAATAAAATCTTCAAAAACCCTGTAATCATCACAACAAAAATTAAATTCTATAAAGAAGGTAAATTGTATAACAAAAAACATGCTCATTTGATCTCAGTTATGTTACTTATTCATTCTACAGTTTAAGGCCACATGGGTTTTAATTCCCTTCACTCTTATATAGGGAAGAATATATTTTATTAAATATATTCATTTAAATAAATTAATAGAGAAGCTTTAAATTAACATAGTAGTATTGAAGATTGAGTTGACTATATAAGAATATACAAGCCATTCAATAAATGGTAGCTTTATGTTTTGTTATTGTCCAAGTTCATTCAGTAAGTGGCATGGCTTAGATTAAAATCCAGGTTTGTCAGATTCAAAATCCCACCTTTTTAAAATTTACCTTGACTGTCAATTAAATGTTGTTAAATGATTATGTCTTTATACGATGCAATTAACTTGTTAATTCATATCAAATATTTATGTTAAGTCCGATCTCCTTTTTTTCCCTAAGATTTATTTATCTTAGAGAGAGAGAGAGAGAGCACAGCAGGGAGGGGTGGAAGGAGAGGGAGAGAGAAACTTAAGGAGACCACGCTGAGCACAAAGTGGAGGAGGAGCATGATCTCAGGACACTGAGATCACAACCTGAGCCAAAACCAAGAGTCAGACCCTTAACCAACTGCACCACCTAGTTGTCCCAAGTCCAATTTCTTAATGACCATTCTAGATGATGTAGAAATTAAATTTGGGGGCACCTGGGTGGCACAGTTGGTTAAGGGTTTGACTCTTGGTTTCAGCTCAGGTCATGATCCCAGGATCCTGGGATTGAGTCCCATATTGGGTTCTCTGATCAGCAGAGAGTCTGCTTCTTCCTCTGCTGCTCCCCCTGCTTGTGCTCTCTCTCTCTCTCTCTCTCTATCAAATGGATAAATAAATCTTAAAAAGAAATTAAATTTGAGTTATAAATTTCCTCTTTTAAAATTCAGTTGTCAGTATTATAAATCAATAAAATATAAATTCATACAAGTAATATGTTACCCTAAAATACATTTAGAAGAGGTAAAATTATAACTTTCCCAGAATTAAAAGTTATGAATAATCATGTTCATTTCAAATATGTTAGTCATAACTTCTGAATGTAAAGGAATAATCTTGCTAAGATTTAAGAATAATTTAAATATATGTGATCCCAATCTATGTGCAAGGAAATATCCTAGGTACGAAGAACTCATCAGTGATCAAGTGAAATGAGATGTTAATATGAAAAACTAATAACTTAATGAAGGAAACAATTATTAGGCAAGCAACAACATTAATTATCAAAATAATAGTCTAGAGAACTATGAAAATATGTAGCAGGGATGTTAATAGGACACAACGGTAAGCTTGAACAGTGAAATGGAATCACCTGGGAAAACTGTCAAGGGAAGCATATTCCCAAGAAAATATCTATCTAAATATTTGAGATGAGTGTGACGTTGGATACTTTTGAATAAGTAAGAGAAGCTGAGCTTCTACGTGTAGAGGAAAAATAAATCGTGATAAAATATAAGCTCTTGATTTAGAGAGAGTTTATATCAAAAATGGCAGGCATCAACAAGGGCTCGCATTTTATCTGAGGGCAACGGAGAACCTCTTAAAGATTTTATGTAGGAGATTAATAACAACAAATTTTACTTTAATGACAGTTTATTTGAAGGGTGGGGAATGGCTTGGTGGACACAACTGGGAGAGCTGAGACATTTGTGGGGGAGTCAATAGCACTAATCTAGTGAAACAACAGTGATGGTGTGATTAAAACGGAGGCAGAAGAAATGCAACACTGGTGGAGTCCAGAATACTGAAATAGTAGAATTACAATCTTTAAGGCTGCTGACCTAAATAAGGATAGAGAAAGAAATCCAGGAGAACCAGGTACAGAAATAAGATGGTAAGGGGTAAGGGTATGTCATAATCACTTAAACATATACCAAATTTGTACTGGAGTGATTTCCTTGTAGAAGTACCCAGATTTCTGGTATATACAGAAAAAAGCATAGGAGAAAAATGGGCTGGAGTTCTATATCTGATTATATTAATCACATTTTTTAATATCTCAGTATGTATATAAAGTTGTTGTTTTAAAATGACAAAGACCTGATTTTGTTTAAGTCATGAGGAAATTATATGTAGGGAGATAATAAAACAGTATGGAAGAAAATATATGTCAATGAATACAGTGCAAGTAGGAGAAAAGAAAGAAGTTTATTGTAGATTATTAAAGTTGCAACTTTGGTGGAAGAAAGTTGAAAATTTTATCTAGTGGGATTGTCTATTTTCTTTGTAAAATAGGAGACAATTAGGGAAATGGTGAGTTTGAAAGAAAGAGAAGAATGCACAATACTTGAAGTGAACAGTAAGGAAAATGTGAGAGAATGTTCATTAGGAAAAAATAGAAGGATCACTAGGCAATATTGAAATAATTTTGTAGCTGTAAATCACCAATTTAAAGTAGTATAAACCTTTACAGATGCATTATTTTCCCAGTAGCCTAGTTGAAAAATATACAATAAAAAATTAAGTAGTAAATGGGTTTAAACAAACACAGTCACCAATATATTTCCATGCTGAAATGCTCAGAAACAAATTTCATTTGCATTGAAGCAGAATTAGGTCTGTGTGACATTTTTAGACTAGCTGCAGATGTGAGCTCGCATTACTGCATGGCTAATCCCGTGCTTCTCAGAATTCTCTGGGTCCCTAATTATTGTGCATTTATATTTTGTAAGAGAAAATCACTTGATGGTTGCATTTCGGTCTCCAGAAAATTTAAATAAATAAAAATAGAAGCTAAAAAAATATCTATGAAGTCAATTTTCTTCTATAGATGTTGAATACAAAATACTGTGGATTTTATTAGGAGAGTGATTAATATAAATATCATATATGGATAAATTTAAACAAGGAGTTATAATTTGGATTCAAAAGGTAATGGTATGTAACACAGTTTTTACTTACAAAGACACTGTTAAAATTCTGTTCAAAACAACAAGTCAAAAGACATCCTGTTCACTTCTAAACACACATACACACATGTATGCATACACATATTTTCAAATATGTTTGTAAGAGTTGAAATCAGGAATCATGGTCATTTCAGGTGATACTGTCATCTTTTAAATTTGTTATTCAAGACGTCTACAGGATATGACGGAGCCATTCATAGCATTGTGCATAGTTACAACCATAATATTACTTGGCCGCAATTTTGTCAGGATAATATTTCACAGGAAGATCTACGGAATAATTTCAGATCTTACAAGCTGTATTGCTTTTGTAGCTTTAAAATTACAAAAGCGATACAACTCATATACAACTCATATTCAATAGTTAATAACATAGAGGTAACATATAGATAATCTTCCATTCACATTTAGAAGTTATCTTAAATGACCCCCTCCAAAAAATAAGGAAATAGATGAAAACAAATCCATTTTATTTAAACAAAGAATGATCTGAATATAATATGCCTATTTCGGTATTTGGATTATAATACGCATCTGATAGAAGACAGGTGAGTGAGGATTAGAAGTAGTGCACATAACTCATTTGCATTGTGCTCAAAACATAACATCATGAACTATGTAAACTTTCAATGAATTTGTAGTTGATTCTGCAGAAGTGATC